GCCTAGGACTGCTGTCTTAAGCTGTTCCGACTGACCAAACCCTTAGACCCTAAACCCCTGAGCCATTACCCGATGATTAAGACCCTTAAACCCTAAACCCTCCCTTATTCCTCATCGTTGTACCCCTTTTCTGTTGTACCTCCTCTAGAGACAACCTGATGACTGTGAACCAAGGGTACGTTTTGTGTTCTCCCTTCCTATTGTAAGGTGTGTAAACCCGTCCATCTTTGATGTAGGGGGCTATCTGCTCTGTCCTGAGTCAGCTAGTGCATCAGCTCTTGATGCCCTCTCCCTTGTCCGACCTGGATCAGTCTTTGCAGTGTCTGTGACAGGCCTAGGTCACTTCCTCCCAACACCAATCTTAATTCTCCTTGCCTCTCCTCTTGGCTCTCGTTCCTGAAGCCTGGTATCCCTTACTCCCTTCAACTCAGCTGCCTATCTGTTGCAGGCACAGTCTGGGCTTTCCTGCCTGTCTCTGAACTGTGCCAGTCTTTCCAGTACACTCGGTCGATCCGTAACTCAGCCACCTTACTGTCCACTAACCACAGCCTGGTGAACTTTTTCCCAGCCTTTTCTCGCAGATCCTCATCTTCAGGCATCGACTGCTTTAACTTTTGCCATCTGCAAAGAATTTCAGCCTGTAGCATGGCTCTCGTCTCCGCCCATATCTTCTCTCTTGGGTTGGAAAGCCTTCGATAGTTCTGCAGCATCTCTCTTTCCAAATGATCCATAACGTCACCTTCCTGATCAGGCCGAACCATAACCTTTCCGTCTTCTTGAGCTGGTCAGGAATGTTAGTCCAGAGAAGGATTTGGATGGGATGTTCGGGGAAGGGGGCATGGAAAAGGGAGTCCCAGAGGGCTGAGGCCCGTGCGTAGTAATCCGTCGCCTCGTTACATTGAATTAGGCAGTGTAACACGTCTTCTTGCGCCCCTTCTGTACAAACTGTGCATAGGCTTGAACTGGTGGGATCGTTTTTGTGATGTCGTGTGTGAAGCCATTGATTCACTGGCAGTGCAGCGTATGTGATAAGCCACTGAAGGCTTCTGACTTTAATCGGCCTGACAGTCTTAAATTTCTTCCACGGAATCTGTGTAATTTTGTCAGCTTCCTGGCCTATTAGTTTCTGCCATCTGCACTTGATTATAGGATCTGGGTCTTTTGCTTTAGCCAAGAGTTTGTAGCCGAATTAACTGTATAGTTCTCTATGGGGACATGAGACTTGATATACCTATCCTTGTCCGGTGTCCAGGCCCACTCTGCCCAGTCGAATTCCAGATCATGTACTGCCGTATCTGGTCTGAAAATTAGCTTAGGGCATGAGCCTAGTACTCTAACTTTCCTAAGTAAGAAGATCTCTATGACTGTCGATTCCATATCTTTGTTTAATATAGATGGCATGCCCTGCTTGGACGGGGAGATCGGGAAGGAGGAAAAGACGGCTTTGGTGGTTGATACCGGTTGCATGTGTGAGAATTGGAAGACTCGTGATGGCGGGGACTCTTGCACCTTAATCCCCACTCTCCGAACTTCCAGGGCAACGCTTCATTCAAAATATATTTCCAGTCTTGTGGGATGCGATTAATTATGTATTGGAGATTGGGCCCTCGTCTGTGGCAACCCTTCAGACGTGTGCTCATCTCCTGTTCGGTCGCCCATTCTTTCCTTTCTTCGTTCCATAGGTGGCTTACTGCCCATACCCCATTTTTGACCCACAATAGCCAGTTGTGATCTCAATATAGAGGATTATCACCTTCGTCTGTCACCCATTCATTGCCGAACAGCGGTTGTCTTAAGACCTCATCTTTGGAATTTGGTCTATTGGTCTTCTTTGGTAATATTTCTCTCCCGATCCGAATCAGAGCCGACCAGTATGGGGTAGGGCGTCTAGCTGTGTCCAAATCAGATCCCCTTCTTGGTCTTCTCCTGCCTATTTTCAGGTTTCATTCCTTGTTCATTATCCAAAACAGACCCGTCATATTTTTTGGTGAAGCTACTGGAGCCAACGCTCTGATGCTGTCTAATGCCAATTTGTTCCACGCGCTTTCTGGCTTCATCNTGTATTGGAGATTGGGCCCTCGTCTGTGGCAACCCTTCAGACGTGTGCTCATCTCCTGTTCGGTCGCCCATTCTTTCCTTTCTTCGTTCCATAGGTGGCTTACTGCCCATACCCCATTTTTGACCCACAATAGCCAGTTGTGATCTCAATATAGAGGATTATCACCTTCGTCTGTCACCCATTCATTGCCGAACAGCGGTTGTCTTAAGACCTCATCTTTGGAATTTGGTCTATTGGTCTTCTTTGGTAATATTTCTCTCCCGATCCGAATCAGAGCCGACCAGTATGGGGTAGGGCGTCTAGCTGTGTCCAAATCAGATCCCCTTCTTGGTCTTCTCCTGCCTATTTTCAGGTTTCATTCCTTGTTCATTATCCAAAACAGACCCGTCATATTTTTTGGTGAAGCTACTGGAGCCAACGCTCTGATGCTGTCTAATGCCAATTTGTTCCACGCGCTTTCTGGCTTCATCAAGAGTCTGACTATCCATTTAACTTGGAGGGGTTTTGTCTCATATCTAGGGTCTATAATCCCTAGACCCCCATGCAATGGCTTCCTAATGATGTATTGCCATGCAATCTTGGGGATGCACCCCTTTTTGTTGGGATTTCCTGTCCATAAATAAGTCCTTGCTATGTGGTTGATTTCCTCAATTGAGCTATCTGGTATTATCCATATCAAGGCTATATACCACATCATAGAAAACACCGATGTGTTGAGCACCAGAGCTCGGCCAATTACTGAGGCGAATGTGTTCCCCCATCTCCCTAGCTTGTTTACTTGCTTTGTTCGCATGTTTAGGGCCATCTGGGGTGCCAGACCCTCCCTAGTCATGAGAATACCCAGGAAGCGGGTAGGGGTATCTGGCGTATCCCACGTCATTGCGACCTCAGGCCCTTGCAGATGAGGAAGATCCTCATCAGAAAGCCACCACCAATGAGGAATCGGAGGCTCTGATCAGGACCGTAAGGTCATCTGCAAACATGATTGCGGTCGGAAAATTCATATGGTGAGCCTACCCCGCATTGACCTCTGGGAGCCTATGAATGGAGGGATCCTTTGGTAGGAATGACTCAATGGCCTCCATTACGAGTAAAAGATCGAGGGGGCGAGTGGGTCTCCTTGCCTAACCGAACGGGAAATTGGGTAGCTTTCCAATAGGAACCCATTTACCTGTACGCAGCCTATGGCATCATTGTACAGAATTCGGACCCACTTCCTTAAGTTAGGTCCCACACCCATTTGTTCCATACTCGCGTCCATGAAATACCAATTGACTTGGTCGTACGCCTTCTCAAAGTCAAAGAAGAGTATGGTTGGGTTTATCCTCTTTTCTTTGACTTTGTTCGCTGCCACATTTAGGTTCAATACATTATCCAATATATACCGTTCAACGATGAAGCCCGTTTGGTCAATGTGGAAACATTTATCCATTAAGTTCTTAATTCTAGCAGAGAGAGCTTTGACCAGGATCTTGTAAGGGAGCATTAGTAACGAAATTGGTCCGTAATTTCTAATGTCCTCTTTGTCTCCCTTTTTGTACAGCAGTGTGACAACACTACTACTCAAGAGATTGCCAAAAACCCCTTTGTCCCAGCTTTCCTTGTAGAAATTCATTAAGTCTCCCCCTAAGAGTGGCCAAAATTTCTCCCATAATTCCTTTGTTAACCCATCAATCCTTGGCGATTTGTCGTTATTCATACTCTTGAGTGCTTGGAGGAGTCCGCCCACTGTTAATGGTTTGTCTAAGGCTTCCGCTTGCTCGACTGATATCGTTTGTTCCAGATATTGCAGCGTTCTTTGTCTTGCTTCCTTTATGCCAGATGGGATAGGCGACTGAGTTTTGGTCTGATACAGATCCTGGTAGAAGTCCTTTGCGATTCCAAGCACACCCTCGCTGGTTGTCATTGTCTCTTCCAGTTCACTGAGCGTTTTCAATCTTTCTATAGTGGTATCCCTCAAGTTGGCCTTGATACGGGCGAAGAAGTGTTTCAACATTGATTCACTAAGCTCATATTCGTTCATTATGGCTCTTATTTGCAGGCCTTTTAGGTCCCACCACCTCCACATAGCCAGTTCTTCTTGTGCTTTCTCGAAAAAGTCAAGGTCTCCATCTCATCCCTGTTCTCCGTTGTGCAGTTTCCGGTAGCTTGACGATCAAGGGAGAAAAAGCATGGGGGGAGTGCCTCCCCGGCTCTGTGTGTTGTGTCGA